TGGAATTCCTTCCTTATGGACCGGAGGGGGGAGATTGTTGGTATATGGTCCAGCACATGATCAATGTTCTAGATTATTCTAATAAGCAAGTGAGGTGGCTGGAGCATGCTAGACAAATCTAGCATGTTATTAAGTTGATGGAAGAAGCTAGAGAGTACTAACTTCCTTGGTTGCAAATGGAAAGATCTAGAAGCTACAATGTTGTGGCTAGTCTAGAATTATCTATGCTAGAGGTTTGAAGAATACACTAGAAACTAGTAGAATGACAAACCCTCACCTATAAATATGGGTGATGTTGTAGTGAAGTAACCAATTAAGAACCAAGTGTGGGTAGCAAAGGATCAAGTCCAAAGCTAGAGTTCCACTCCAAGAGTGAGAGTCAGAGTGTTCCACTACACATTGTGAGTGAAGTTTAGAGTGATAGAAAGTGTGTGTCATACTTTCCTGTATCCATCAAGCCTTGTCTTTGGCTTGGTAAGACTACTCTTGTTGTACTCATCTTTTTCATATAGTGAAGATTGATCCTTGTTTAGTGGACGTAGGCATAAATTGCCGAACCACATAAGTTCTTGGTATCCATTTTCTACTTTACTTTGTGCATTCTTTATCTTGTAGTACTGACATTCCTAACAATCATCCCCTTCTCTAGCTCGTCATCGTCTGCAAAAAAACAGAAAAGAATGCACACGATTAAGTTTACGTTTTGAACTTTGAAGAATGAGCAGTTTCGTTTAGTATTATGGAATGACCACGGGAGAAAATTAATGTCGAAATAAATTGGTTTTGCAAGAAAGCAATGTCAAGAGACAAAATTACACACACGCCACAAGGAACACCTTGTGCAACATAATTAGGCGGACTGCATAAATTACTAAAGTATCAGGAAAAACCCCGGTTGCGCAGAAAAGGACTGCACTCCTCTACATCTACCTTAAAATTAAGAAACGGCAAAACAAAAGAGAACAGAACTAAAACATCACACTACTTATTACAACACAACAGGATATAGCACCAGACCAGACCAACATCACAAACCAGCATATGAGAACCAAGTGTGATTAGCTGAAAATAATATGCATAAATTAGGGCTGGTTTGGTATTGCTGTGCTTTGAAAAAAAACTGTTTCTGTTGTGCTGTGATTATAAGCTCATTTTTACTGCTTTACGTTTTCAGCTTTTTTTCATCAAAAATTTTGAAAGTAAGCTGTTTTTAAGTATTTACCAAACACTTTTTTGAGCTCAGCTTTTTTTATACCCACTTTTTATGAAAACACTACCAAACCAGTACTTAGTCCATGACCCTCTTACTAAACAAAGCAGCCAGCCTAAACAAGACAAGAAAGGAGAAAAGGAAACATGAAACGGATACAACACAAATAAGGAGATGATTTTTACACACAATTTTAACACCATCAACTTTCATCAATGGATCCAAGAAATCACAAACAATCCGTTTGAAAGTTGAACTCTTTGTAATATTTCTTACCAATTAACTGACAGATTTGGTCAACTGATATGACCACTTCCGCTTCCAAAAGGATGAATCCTTAGTAGTGAGCTTGATTATCGAACCTGAGAAGGAGAACATAGCAACCCAGAAGCATCTGCCCCAACCACTGCAAGATCACAAACAGTACAGAATTGCCCTTCTTGAGTTGCCACAAACCGTGAGCTACAATAATATGGGCAAGAGACGTCCTTCTGTCCTCGGTAAATTGGTACATGTGTTGCCCCACAAATCACAAATGGGTTTCTGAAATCATAGTTCAGTTGAGATTTATCAGTCATATTCCTTTCTGCAGCCTGCAGCACTTGCCGGGCTTTCTTTGCTTGACTCTCATTGGTGGGGTTGGTTTCCAACAGCCGCCTGGCAAAGTTAGCTGCGGTGGCAATGTTCCCTGCCTTATAGCAAACAGTCGGTGCACTAATCAAGGGCCGTAATTAAATCTTATCTTTTTGCTATATTTCTTTTACTTCTTAACAGAAAATTTAATAGATGTCTAATATTGCAATGAATTCATAAGACGAGGTATGACATTGCAATGTTTAAAAGATAATGTATGAAATTGTCGTTTGATCCATAATTAAGGTAGTTTTGTGTTAGGTTTCAATGCAATTAATATGATTTTTTTATATGTAATATTTAAAATATAAAACAGAAATTAAGAAAAAATAAAATAACGTAATAAAATAATAGTTTAATTTGACATATCGAGTGAAGAGCAAAACATTAAAATATATCAAAGTGCCACATAGACTGTCAAATTTAAATTTATGTTTAAAATTTGACATTTCCTTTATAAATGATCTTATGACGTGTCGTGTGTGGATTTGAAGGAGTGTAGGGACCATGTGAGCTCTACGGTGTCATGCAGCCACAGAAACACGAATTAGGAGAAATGAATACGTCTTGACGACCATATATGAGTAGGAAAAATTAAAGGAAAATGATTTATGTAATTAAATGGGTTATATGATCGATCACGGTCAGTGCTTTCTTACAAGGAAGAATTTTTTTAAGTGTAAAGTAATAAATAATGGATATGAGCCTGGGTTATATGATCGATCACGGTCAGTGCTTTCTTACAAGGAAGAATTTGTTTTAAGTGTAAAGTAATTAATGGATATCAGCCTGGTTTGGTTGGATTCGGTTTTAACGAAAACCCAATTCTTTTTTCATTGGAAATATTGCTAGCATATTTAGATCAATCACTCCATTATTCATTGCTAAATTTATCGGTGTAGATATTTTTAGAGGCTCAATACTGAAAATTTCATATGATCAATGAAAAAGAAGAATGCGAGCACGAGGATGATTCAACAAACTAGCACATGCATAGCTAAGAATTCAAGTCAGCTAATATTTTTATCCTTATTCTCTGTCGCGTTTAATATTTTTATCCTTATTCTCTGTCGCATTTAATGTTTTTATCCTTATTCTATGTCGCGTTATCAATTACAACTAATCAAGTATTAATTTGAATAACATATTGTATGTTACTTATGTTACTTCCGTTTTGTGTTAAACTATTTAAAATAAAATTACTCCAATAATATGGCTCCATTGGGGTCGTGCTCGAATTGCAAGAAGTCGTTCTTTGACCATGAACGGTTCAAAGCCTATAAGAAATCAGGGGAACTAAGATATACACATTACTAAAGCTATATATTAATCATATTAATTAGTTTAATTTCGATCTAACGATGAATTATTGAGAGGTGAACACTCTAGCTTCATGTTCCGTTTTACTTGCTATTCACGCAATCAAACGCCGTTCTGCAGGCGCAAAGAATATTAAGTCTCCAGATGCATAGTAATGGTATACCAACAAGTTTCCTTCTCTGAAGCTTGGAAAATGCTGTTCTGCTTGATGATGCAGCAGTTTCTTTCTTTTCTTCATTTGTGCCCAGTTCGAAGGCGAACTCCGAAACCAAGGCCAAGTGATCGCTTCCCACTTTCTGTATAGAAGTATGAGAAGAGAATAGGGGTAGGTTCGGTTCCATTTGGTTCGGTTTTTGGTTGAAACCGGAAACCAAACCGAAGTTACTGTTCGGTTTGGTTTTTATTCGGTTCCATTCAGTTTTTTTCGGTTTCATTTTTTTTCGGTTCGGTTTCAGTCCGGTGTGGTTTTTCCCTTGAAAATTGTTTTTTTTTTTGTTAATATTTAAATTTGGATATTGGTAAACTAGCCCAAAAGAGGACTTGCCAAACTAGCCCAAAAGACCCAACAAACAGTAAAGGCAAAAAACCTAAGCTTCCACTGCAGCACCCGTCACTGAGCATCCCTACTTGCATAAACCCTCGCCATCAACCAACCGACGTCTCGCCGATTGCCACATCCAGCCACAAGCACTTGTCCGAACATAGCCAAATAGACGAGAACCAAGGGCTTAATAAAGAGTAAAGATCCAAAAACCAAAGATATTTACCATATAGGGCTCCACAAAGACAAATCCAAGAACAACATCAACCAATTTTCCTTCAAAACTCACAAACCAACAGTCCAAACAAACATCAGCAACATTTTTTAGATGATCAAAAAACACAAAAACAAAAAGAAAGATTGATTAAACAATTATATGAAAATCCAAACGGAAGATTTCTCGATCAATCTGCATAATTCATCTGTTGAACCACCTCCAAGTGGCTTCCGTTGTTTACAAGAGTGCGAATGTAAAAGATAAAATAAATTTACAAATTTGCAAAGGGTAATGATTCTGAACCCAATCATTCAATCACAAATTAACAAATTTACAAGATTGGGAACAAAATAGATGAAATTGATATAGCGAGAGCACCGTTTTCGAACATGAACTTCTTGAATCAGGCATCGCGGCGGTGACCCACCTAAAAATGATGAACGGATTGCTGCAAATCCTTGTATAAATCGCTTGTAGTTGTAGACATTCGAGCGTTCAACGAAGAAATCATGGAGGTGCAAGAATTCGACGGTGGGAGAGAGAGAAAGCCTGGAAAGTCAGAAAAAAGGAGATGAAATAGCAGTAAATGAGACGACTAGGGTTTTGTGTTTAGAAATCTTATAAAGAATTAAAGATCCATAACCAGTATAAATATTTTACTAATACGATTGCAACACAAAGCTTAATGTCAAGTTGGCTGAAGCAAACACTCTCAACTAGGAGGTAAGGGGTTCGAAACATTTGGCCTCTAGATTTTGAGTATTTGTAAATGATATATATTAAATAATTAAAAATAAATCGGTTCAGTTTGATTCGGTCTAGTTTCTGGACCACAAAAACTGAAACCAAACCAACCTATTTTAGTTCAGTTCGGTTTTTTTGGCTTTGGTTCGGTGTTCAGCTTGGTTTTTTTCAATTTTCGGTTTTCTGAACCCACCCTAGAAGAGAGAATCAGATTTGAAGATAACATTATATACATTTATTCGAAACAGCTAGCCCATCATTGCCACGCTGACTAGGAGTAAAATGCAAAGAATCACACACACGCACAACAGAATCTCCATNCATCTGTGTGAATCTTATGAAAATGAACCTCAATCTTATCTAATCACTCAGGAAAATGAATCATACTCATCTTTCCATCTAGACAATGTGTACAAACTTTCACATGATCATCTGTAATACAAGAATTTTTAGAATCTCTTAGCATAGTAGTCAACACCTTATTAGAAGGGTGCCCAAGCCTTTGATGCCACAGGGTACTCCTCACTGCATGCCCCAAGAAAGCAAAAGACAAACCACCTTTATTCAACAATGTAGGAAAAATATATACAGGAACTTTGAACAGTTCATTATTGCTACTCTTTCCTTGATGAAGTATCACCCCTGTTACCTTGTCTTGCACAAAAAAAACTGTTATTCATTACATATAAACCAACTATGATTATCTTTGCATAACTTCTTCATAGATAACAGATTTATAGTCAACATAGGAACATGCAAAATATTCTTATGAAATAAAGAATGCGATGGAGTCTATAAAGTTCCATTGCCACTATGTTTAATTATCAAACCTTCATTATTTCCCATAACTATTTTCCATATGGAGTAGCTCTTGAAAGTAATGTGACATCAGGACTCATATGATGAGATGCTCCTGTGTTAAGAATCCAAGAATCTCCTACAACAAATTCATAAGGGTTTTGAGCATTCATTGCTATGAAATTTGCTTGACCAGAAGATGTTGCTCCATTTGCTTGAACAACATATTGATTAAGAGGTGAAAACATTGGTGGTTGAGGTCAAAGAACTTATTGAAAACCCTAATATGCATAGTTAGCAGAAGATAGAGGAGGTTGATTCCCTTGGTAAGAATAATTGCCTCTGTGCTTGTAATTAATAGCTATATGGCCTCGTTTTCCACAAATTTGACATTCTAGAATAGGCTTCCTATTGGTTTCATTTCTATACAGACAAGTCACTGTAGTGTGACCCTTTCGAGAACAAATCTGACATTCAGGAATAGGTTCATACCTATTATTAGAATTACCAAATCAAGGTTGCCATGAATTTCCATTTCGAGCACCATTGAATCGAGGCTTGTATCCATCATTACCTCTAGGCCTATAAGAGTTATTGTTATAAGACCTAGAACCTTGACCAGAATTCTGTTGAGACTAAAAAATTAGTTCCAATAGATTGAAAAACACCCTAAGAGGGAGATTGATAACCAACATTAGATGAAGATTTATTTCCATCATGATATCCCTGTGAAGACTGTGAGGAAGAACTAGAACTAGAAGAATTTTCAACACCACCCTGAGTAAGACCATTAACATACATAACAGTCATACTATGTACTAGAGATTTCATTCTAGCCTCAACACTCTTCTCAGCACCCACCAATTGTAATAAGAGTATCCCTAGCCAAGATTACAATCCTAATCATATCATAATCAGAGGGTAGACCAGACAAGGCAGCAATAATCAGATCATTATCAGAAACTTTTTCCCCAGCTGCTTGTAACTGATCTTTAAGTGCTTTCAATCTCAATATATATTTGTCAATTGTATCATTATCCTTTTGCAAAGTATGAAGCTCATCTTTTAAGTGATTAACACTAGTACTAGACACATCCATATAACGATCTTGTAATGCAGTCCAGGCCTCATACGATCTTTTACAACCAACAACATGTTCAATAGCATCATTACTTAAAGTAGCAATCAACAGACTTAACAAAGCCATATCTTCCTTAACCCAGTCTTTATATGCAGTACTAATTTCTTTGGTAACCCCATATTCAGGTGTAAGAACAAACTTTGGAGGACAAATCAACTTTCCAGTGAAATGAGCAAGAAGATCATATCCACGAAGTACAAAACAAAATTGAAAACTCCATTTGATAAAGTTTTCATGACTAAGCTTACTTGTAAGCATACCAAGCAGACTTTCAATCTTCACAGTAGTAGAACATGATGATCACAAACAATCTTTGTAAATACCACAAATCAAGAAATAGATCAAGAACCCAGATGGCTAGAAAATTACCCAGATGAAATTTCACTCAACAACTGTGTAAAATTACCAAAAACTGAACAAGAATCAATTCTTATATATATGTATACAAAAATCTTCCGAAGTCAACAAACTTCGTATGGCATCGGTTTTCACTCAATTCATTAAACTCATAAAATTGAGCACAATTATGGCATCGGCCTTCAAACAATTTTCAATCAATATTACAAGAACTCAAACATATATGGCATCAGCCTTCATGAAATCAAACAGAAATGTTGTAATTTCGACTACAGAGAAAGAAACCATATCACCTCTTTTCCAGTGAAGTTAACAGCATAAGAAGAATCCAGCATCAGCCACGCAAGCGATACTGGCTCTCAATACCATATTAACACTCACAATAGAGAATCAAGAAACAGAGAAATCAAGGATTCAGAGAAAAATTAAGAGAGAAGAAAGGAAGCTAAGAAGTATTTCACTAGAGAAAACAGTAATTACAATTGAACTTATCTTTCTACAAATGAGAGAGAAAGAGTATTTATACACTAATATTCAGCTTAGGTAGCTTAGGACATAAGCCACAGTTTATGTGTCAATACTGCTGACGTGGCATGTCTGATATGGACAATATTAATTAAGGAAAACTAATGAAAAGGGCTTGAAAACTTTGAGTTTTAATGATAAGGACAAAATAAAGGGTAAAGTGAATAGTACCCAGGATTGACTTTTTAGTGTAAAAATGTGGTTTTTCGTTAAAGTGAACAGTACCGGGTGCTTTTCTTAAAGTTCCCTATTAATATGATGTACATATCCAATACATTAGGCCTTCTTTAGGCCTGTTTGGTGTAAATTCTGCAGTCTAAGAAAAATTAATGCCACATCAAAATTTTAGATTTTGGATAAGTTACATTAATTTGTCTTTGATGAAGGTAGAAGAATGATTAATGATTAATCATGAAGGAAAGTGCATAATACTAAAGTATCAGGAAAAACCCCGGTTGCGCAGAAAAGGACTGCACTCCTCTACATCTACCTTAAAATTAAGAAACGGCAAAACAAAAGAGAACAGAACTAAAACATCACACTACTTATTACAACACAACAGGATATAGCACCAGACCAGACCAACATCACAAACCAGCATATGAGAACCAAGTGTGATTAGCTGAAAATAATATGCATAAATTAGGGCTGGTTTGGTATTGCTGTGCTTTGAAAAAAAACTGTTTCTGTTGTGCTGTGATTATAAGCTCATTTTTACTGCTTTACGTTTTCAGCTTTTTTTCATCAAAAATTTTGAAAGTAAGCTGTTTTTAAGTATTTACCAAACACTTTTTTGAGCTCAGCTTTTTTTATACCCACTTTTTATGAAAACACTACCAAACCAGTACTTAGTCCATGACCCTCTTACTAAACAAAGCAGCCAGCCTAAACAAGACAAGAAAGGAGAAAAGGAAACATGAAACGGATACAACACAAATAAGGAGATGATTTTTACACACAATTTTAACACCATCAACTTTCATCAATGGATCCAAGAAATCACAAACAATCCGTTTGAAAGTTGAACTCTTTGTAATATTTCTTACCAATTAACTGACAGATTTGGTCAACTGATATGACCACTTCCGCTTCCAAAAGGATGAATCCTTAGTAGTGAGCTTGATTATCGAACCTGAGAAGGAGAACATAGCAACCCAGAAGCATCTGCCCCAACCACTGCAAGATCACAAACAGTACAGAATTGCCCTTCTTGAGTTGCCACAAACCGTGAGCTACAATAATATGGGCAAGAGACGTCCTTCTGTCCTCGGTAAATTGGTACATGTGTTGCCCCACAAATCACAAATGGGTTTCTGAAATCATAGTTCAGTTGAGATTTATCAGTCATATTCCTTTCTGCAGCCTGCAGCACTTGCCGGGCTTTCTTTGCTTGACTCTCATTGGTGGGGTTGGTTTCCAACAGCCGCCTGGCAAAGTTAGCTGCGGTGGCAATGTTCCCTGCCTTATAGCAAACAGTCGGTGCACTAATCAAGGGCCGTAATTAAATCTTATCTTTTTGCTATATTTCTTTTACTTCTTAACAGAAAATTTAATAGATGTCTAATATTGCAATGAATTCATAAGACGAGGTATGACATTGCAATGTTTAAAAGATAATGTATGAAATTGTCGTTTGATCCATAATTAAGGTAGTTTTGTGTTAGGTTTCAATGCAATTAATATGATTTTTTTATATGTAATATTTAAAATATAAAACAGAAATTAAGAAAATAAAATAACGTAATAAAATAATAGTTTAATTTGACATATCGAGTGAAGAGCAAAACATTAAAATATATCAAAGTGCCACATAGACTGTCAAATTTAAATTTATGTTTAAAATTTGACATTTCCTTTATAAATGATCTTATGACGTGTCGTGTGTGGATTTGAAGGAGTGTAGGGACCATGTGAGCTCTACGGTGTCATGCAGCCACAGAAACACGAATTAGGAGAAATGAATACGTCTTGACGACCATATATGAGTAGGAAAAATTAAAGGAAAATGATTTATGTAATTAAATGGGTTATATGATCGATCACGGTCAGTGCTTTCTTACAAGGAAGAATTTTTTTAAGTGTAAAGTAATAAATAATGGATATGAGCCTGGGTTATATGATCGATCACGGTCAGTGCTTTCTTACAAGGAAGAATTTGTTTTAAGTGTAAAGTAATTAATGGATATCAGCCTGGTTTGGTTGGATTCGGTTTTAACGAAAACCCAATTCTTTTTTTCATTGGAAATATTGCTAGCATATTTAGATCAATCACTCCATTATTCATTGCTAAATTTATCGGTGTAGATATTTTTAGAGGCTCAATACTGAAAATTTCATATGATCAATGAAAAAGAAGAATGCGAGCACGAGGATGATTCAACAAACTAGCACATGCATAGCTAAGAATTCAAGTCAGCTAATATTTTTATCCTTATTCTCTGTCGCGTTTAATATTTTTATCCTTATTCTCTGTCGCATTTAATGTTTTTATCCTTATTCTATGTCGCGTTATCAATTACAACTAATCAAGTATTAATTTGAATAACATATTGTATGTTACTTATGTTACTTCCGTTTTGTGTTAAACTATTTAAAATAAAATTACTCCAATAATATGGCTCCATTGGGGTCGTGCTCGAATTGCAAGAAGTCGTTCTTTGACCATGAACGGTTCAAAGCCTATAAGAAATCAGGGGAACTAAGATATACACATTACTAAAGCTATATATTAATCATATTAATTAGTTTAATTTCGATCTAACGATGAATTATTGAGAGGTGAACACTCTAGCTTCATGTTCCGTTTTACTTGCTATTCACGCAATCAAACGCCGTTCTGCAGGCGCAAAGAATATTAAGTCTCCAGATGCATAGTAATGGTATATACCAACAAGTTTCCTTCTCTGAAGCTTGGAAAATGCTGTTCTGCTTGATGATGCAGCAGTTTCTTTCTTTTCTTCATTTGTGCCCAGTTCGAAGGCGAACTCCGAAACCAAGGCCAAGTGATCGCTTCCCACTTTCTGTATAGAAGTATGAGAAGAGAATAGGGGTAGGTTCGGTTCCATTTGGTTCGGTTTTTGGTTGAAACCGGAAACCAAACCGAAGTTACTGTTCGGTTTGGTTTTTATTCGGTTCCATTCAGTTTTTTTCGGTTTCATTTTTTTTCGGTTCGGTTTCAGTCCGGTGTGTGGTTTTTCCCTTGAAAATTGTTTTTTTTTTTGTTAATATTTAAATTTGGATATTGGTAAACTAGCCCAAAAGAGGACTTGCCAAACTAGCCCAAAAGACCCAACAAACAGTAAAGGCAAAAAACCTAAGCTTCCACTGCAGCACCCGTCACTGAGCATCCCTACTTGCATAAACCCTCGCCATCAACCAACCGACGTCTCGCCGATTGCCACATCCAGCCACAAGCACTTGTCCGAACATAGCCAAATAGACGAGAACCAAGGGCTTAATAAAGAGTAAAGATCCAAAAACCAAAGATATTTACCATATAGGGCTCCACAAAGACAAATCCAAGAACAACATCAACCAATTTTCCTTCAAAACTCACAAACCAACAGTCCAAACAAACATCAGCAACATTTTTTAGATGATCAAAAAACACAAAAACAAAAAGAAAGATTGATTAAACAATTATATGAAAATCCAAACGGAAGATTTCTCGATCAATCTGCACATAATTCATCTGTTGAACCACCTCCAAGTGGCTTCCGTTGTTTACAAGAGTGCGAATGTAAAAGATAAAATAAATTTACAAATTTGCAAAGGGTAATGATTCTGAACCCAATCATTCAATCACAAATTAACAAATTTACAAGATTGGGAACAAAATAGATGAAATTGATATAGCGAGAGCACCGTTTTCGAACATGAACTTCTTGAATCAGGCATCGCGGCGGTGACCCACCTAAAAATGATGAACGGATTGCTGCAAATCCTTGTATAAATCGCTTGTAGTTGTAGACATTCGAGCGTTCAACGAAGAAATCATGGAGGTGCAAGAATTCGACGGTGGGAGAGAGAAAGCCTGGAAAGTCAGAAAAAAGGAGATGAAATAGCAGTAAATGAGACGACTAGGGTTTTGTGTTTAGAAATCTTATAAAGAATTAAAGATCCATAACCAGTATAAATATTTTACTAATACGATTGCAACACAAAGCTTAATGTCAAGTTGGCTGAAGCAAACACTCTCAACTAGGAGGTAAGGGGTTCGAAACATTTGGCCTCTAGATTTTGAGTATTTGTAAATGATATATATTAAATAATTAAAAATAAATCGGTTCAGTTTGATTCGGTCTAGTTTCTGGACCACAAAAACTGAAACCAAACCAACCTATTTTAGTTCAGTTCGGTTTTTTTGGCTTTGGTTCGGTGTTCAGCTTGGTTTTTTTCAATTTTCGGTTTTCTGAACCCACCCTAGAAGAGAGAATCAGATTTGAAGATAACATTATATACATTTATTCGAAACAGCTAGCCCATCATTGCCACGCTGACTAGGAGTAAAATGCAAAGAATCACACACACGCACACACAGAATCTCCATCAACCCCACAAATGCATGTATATGTCACTCTAATCATTGAGAGCCTTCGTAAAGTTTTCCCTCAAATGGGTCCAGTAGCAGAATCAAAAGTTGTCCTACCTTGCAAGGGAGGCTACCAATCCTCTGGAGAACATCAACTGGAACAGTGTCTATATAACTCTAGTGGGCACAAGACCATCGGAGTACCTATACGAAACAAGAATTTCATATGATTCATCGGCATAGCCATTGTCATAACCAACTCCACCGCGCGACATTACAATTGATGTTACAAAATTTAAGAAAAGCAATTTACCATAAGTAGTCACCGGTTCCAAAAAGTAGGAAGTAGCTACAGATTCTTTTTTTTTTAATTTTTGTAGCGACGGATTAGGCGAGATTAGCTCTTCGTCAACAGTCGCGTGCGAGGCACCAACCCTCTCCCAAAG